TCCTCCTCCTGTCCCTGGCACGCACCGGATGTCACTGCGTCCGTCCACTGCTCCTCTGCGTGCCCCTTTGCCTTCTCCTCCTGCTTCCTCTCTTCCTGCTCTTGCCGACCCGGAGTCGGACGCTCTTCGTGCTGCCAGTCCTACTGTCACGCGTCTCCTGGCTACTGCTGTCACTGACCCCTCCTTCGAGTCGTCTGCTGCGTCTGCCCTTGTCACTGAGCTTGTCGACTTTGCTGCGCGCTGTCGTCTAGACTACGCTGCTCGTCTTGTCACTGAGTCTGAGTCCGCCTGTCCTCCGTCCGTCGGGGGTGAGTGTGCCCTTGGCACGGACGTCCTTGAGGACAGGCAGGAGGAGTTCCAGTGTCTAGCCGCCGCTTCACCTCGTCTCGCGTCTGTACTGCTAGCCCCTGAGGGAGACCCGGATGCACCAGACATCCCGACTCCGCGTTCTTACGCGGAGGCGATAGAGGGTCCCTACTCCTCTCAGTGGCAGGCAGCTATGGATGCAGAGATGGCTTCCTGGAAGTCCACAGGCACCTACGTTGACGCTGTTCCCCCTCCTGGGGCGAACATCGTCAGTGGCATGTGGATTTTCAGGGTGAAGCGGCCGCCGGGTTCTCCGCCTGTCTTCAAGGCGCGTTACGTGGCTCGTGGCTTCAGTCAGCGGCAGGGGGTTGACTACTTTCAGACCTTCTCCCCCACCCCGAAGATGACCACTCTTCGGGTTCTGCTACACGTTGCTGCTCACCGTGACTACGAGCTGCACTCTCTCGACTTCAGCACAGCTTTCTTGCAGGGCAGCCTGCACGAGGAGATCTGGCTGCGTCGCCCACCTGGCTTCACTGGGTCTTTCCCTCCTGGTACCCAGTGGAGTCTCCGGCGTCCAGTCTACGGTCTCCGCCAGGCGCCACGTGAGTGGCACGACACACTGAGGACTACGCTCGCGGCACTTGGGTTTGCTCCTTCCACTGCCGACCCGTCGCTGTTTCTGCGCACCGACACCTCTCTGCCGCCGTTCTACATCCTCGTGTACGTCGACGACTTGGTCTTTGCCACAGCTGACACTGCTGGACTCGCCTACGTGAAGTCCGAGCTGCAGAAGAGACACACGTGCACTGACCTGGGTGAACTGCGCAGCTACCTTGGCTTGCAGATCACCCGGGACAGAGCACGCCGCACCATTACCCTGACTCAGTCACACATGGTGCAGCAGGTCCTTCAGCGCTTCGGCTTCACGTACTCCTCGCCTCAGGCCACTCCTCTGCCTACTCGCCACTCGCTCTCAGCTCTGCCTTCGGATGAGTCCGTAGAGTCGAGTGGCCCGTTTGCAGAGCTTGTTGGCTGCCTCATGTACCTGATGACCTGCACACGACCTGACCTCGCATACCCTCTTAGCATTCTCGCACGCTTTGTTGCTCCTGGGAGACACCGACCAGAGCACATGGCTGCAGCGAAGAGGGTGTTGCGCTACTTGTGCAGTACGTCGGGCATGGGACTAGTGCTTGGAGGGCGCAGTCCAGTGGTCCTCACTGGGCACGCAGACGCTTCTTGGGCTGACGACCAGGCTACGCAGCGGTCGTCTCAGGGTTACACCTTCAGCCTTGGTTCCGGCTCTGTCTCGTGGCGGGCCACCCGCTCGTCTTCTGTTCTCGGCTCCAGTTGTGAGGCTGAGATCTACGCTGGGGCTATGGCTGCACAGGAGTTACGCTGGCTCACCTACCTGCTGACCGACCTTGGAGAGCAGCCTCGTTCTCCTCCAGTCCTGTACGTAGACAACAAGGCCATGCTGGCCTTGTGTCGAGAGCAGCGACTGGAGCACAGAACGAAGCACATTGCTCTTCGCTACTTTCTTGCTCGTGAGCTACAGCAGCGTGGACAGCTGCGACTTGCGTACGTGGCCTCTGAGGCCAACACTGCTGATGTCTTCACCAAGGCACTTGCGCCTTGTGATCATCACCGTTGCTGCACGCAGTTGGGTCTTGTGCCTGTCTTGCCTCACTTGCTCTCCTCTTGACCTTGCTTGTACCTTCACATATATATATACTCTTGCTCTTGTATATCTCTATATATGATCTTGCATGTGAACTGGCCTTGTGGCCTTTGAACTTGTGCTCGGAATGCGTGGTGACTTTGTGATCCACCCTGAGCTTTGCTTTGCTTTGCTTGACTGGTCTTGTGACCCCTTGTTCTCCCCCACTTTGCCTATGGGGGTGTGTCAGAACATATAGCTTACTTGTTTCTGTAGGCTATAGTGGGGTATCCCATAGGGGGTACAACCCAATTAGGGTTTCCTATTTGTACTCTCTTCGTTCATAGTCATTTCACTTCTCGTTCGTACTTTCTCATCGACTGGAATATTTCCCGTGTCGTCCCATTTGGGAAGGCTGATTTTCCTCCCGTTGTTGTTGATGTTGGCCGTCTGGTTAACCCAGTTGATCTCGGGGTTGAACTTTTCAAGAAAGTCTCTCCCGAAGATTATGTCGAGTCCTTTGATATTTGTGACGGGGAGAGCAGGCTTCCATCGAAGGGGTCAAATCTGGAGTAGCAACCGTGTTTCCCCGTAGATAGGTAGCTTACTGCCATCCACCATCGTTGCAGAGAAGCTTGAGGACTTGATGTCACCTCCGAGTCGATCAATTGCCTTTTTGTCATAGACGCTGTGCGACGCCCCGCTGTCCACGAGTGCTTGGAGGCGCTGTCCGTTGCAGATCACCTCGAGCAGGAGTGGTGAGCGTTGCTCGGAGTACCCAAAAATAGTCTCATTAATAGGAACATAGGGTACATCCCAATGTTCAGTACACACCGTGGTTCCACTGCTTTCTTCTGGACAACTAGCTGGCCTAGGCTGCGTGGAGAAAGGCTCTTCTCTAATGCCAGGAGTAGAGGTAGTAACCGTACAAGTTGACCCTGAGGGGGTGGATCTGGTCGACGCCTGCGATCCACTGGATGCATCCTGGAGGGGTTTTCGGAGATTCTGCAGCTTCTTTTGAACTCCCAGCTGCCTCTTCAGCTGCTTCAGCTCCATAGACTTCTTCCCTGAGGAGTGGAGAGTCGTCTTGGACTGGTTCCGGGAGAGGACGTTGACGCCGTGAAAAGGTCTACTCCTTTCCACACTCCTTAATTTTTTCCCCAGCTCCGTAGGCACCGGTACCACTTCTTTAATTGTTTGCTTCCTCTGGAGTTCTTCCTGGAATTTGTTTATGGCTTCGGACTCGCGAAAATCGCCAGTCTTCATTAAAGCATCTTTGAAAGATAACTTTAACGAATTCTGTTTTTTTCCGGGGTCGAATTGGAGAGTTCCCGTCTTGGTCGAGTCTGTTTTCGCGGAGGTTTTCTTTTCCTCGGCGAATCCCTCTGACAAATTCCGGTCAAGGGGCTTGGGATTTCGCCCTTGATTCTCCAAATCTCGCTCCCAATGCTGTCCTTCAATTTCGATTCGGTCCAGATTGCGCTGACCCTTTCGGATCTGTTTTTTCTCGCCAGCACGATCCGCAATCACTGGCGAGATCCGTTTTTTGACTTTTTGTCTTTAGTTTCGCCACTCCCACGAGCTCGGAATGCCGCACGTGCTGATTTCATGTGAAAACAGTCGACAATGCGATGTCCATCTCCGCCGCAAAATTCGCAAAGTGTTTTGTTTTTTGCAGGACGTGAACTCGCGTCGAATTTGTCGACTTCCATGGGGTCGGCGAACGTGGTTGAAGCCGAGCGATCCCCTTGTCATGATCCGACGACGTGGGGTCGTCGTGTCCCGGAGTTGACCAAGTCAAAACGCTCCGCGGCCGATACGATTTCGCTGTAGCTGCTGCAATTCGCTGCTGCAACCTGGCGCCGAATGTCGGTTTTCAGCCCCACGATGTAGGACTGAATTTTTTCGCCCTCGGTAATGTCGGGAATGCGATTATAAAATTCCTCCATCTGCTGCGTGTATTGCGCGACACTCCCGTATTGCCTATGGTGATGTAATTTTTCGCGCGCAATATAAGTGGAATTAATCGGCTCAAAACGTTTGAGAAGGTCTGCCCGGAACTGCTGCCACGTGGCTTCGCCCTGGAAAATGCTACTGTTGCTTCCGAGCCACTCGAGAGCTGGACCGCGCATCAACGTTGTCGCGAGACGAATTTTCTCACCGTCGTACTCCGTTGTCGTCCATCCGATCGCCGCGAAAAAAAATTCCATCGTCGCGAGCCACCGCCTGACGTCGGATTTTCGATCGCTAGGGTCGAACGATTCCGGCGAGCAAAGTTTCGGAACCTCGAACTGACGCAGCGACTGCTGCGAAGTCGTCGAAGCAGGAATGTTCATGGTCAAGAGGAGCCGCGTAACGCGCTGCAGTTCGTTTCGCATCTGCTCGTTCTCCAATTGCGACCGTTCAGTCGTCGCTCGCATCTCCGCTTCCATCTTGGCGATTTGCGCGAAGAGCTGCTGCGTAACGTCGTTGGTCGCCGGCGAACCCATCCTGTTCAAAAACCAGGCGAGGGGGTTAATTCAAAAAGCGCGGAACTGGTACTTACCAGAAATCGGCGTCGAATTGGTCGCCCCCGGCGGTTTTTCGAGGCGATTTTTTCCGCGACCGCTGCTTAGCCGAGAGTTGTCGAGTGAGAACGACTCTGATAACCAAGTGTCACAGGATCGAATTCTCAATCGAAACTTGTCACTAAAACTGAATACAAGGCCTATTTATACTCGGAAAGTACAAGGATAAACGAGATAAAACGAACCTTCGGGAACACACCCTTCCCGATACTACAATCACAAGTGCGCATAAGCACGCAAGTCTATTGGCACTTGGGATTACGCCCAGATTACACCGTATACACCACTGTCGGCGCTGTCGGTGCCGTATAATAGGTATGTCGGTGGGAAAAGTAGGAAATAAGAGAAATAAATAGAAGGCTCTAGAAAATAGAATAGTAGGCCGATTGAGATGAGATAAAGACCAAAATAAAGAGGAGAAAAGGGAAAATAGGATAACGGAAAAATATAATAGTGAGAAAATATTATAACGGGGACGTCCTCGCCAAGTGGCCAAGTGTCGGCCTGTCCGAGCACACCTGCAGTGGGTCACTCGCTGCCTCGCAGGAGTGAACTGGTCAACCCCCCTGTCCTGTAGGTCCGCTCCACTCACCAAGTTCGTAGAGAACGAGGGGAGGTAGAGACCTGATAGGGTGCCAGAGGGGGCTGCCGGGCACGGTAAGACAGTGGAGAAGCTAGCAAGGACAGGACCCCTAGAGGGGTCCACCAGGGAGACTGCAACCGGCCGACTGAGCGGCGTAAGAGTGGTGCGGTCTCGAAAGAAGGAGCGGGACGCACCCGAGTCAAGGGTGAAGGTGTGTAAGGCCTGAGCCGACGTAGTACTTGAGAGCGCAGACTCACCAGCACCTGGGGCAGCAGATGCACTAGCACCTGGGGCAGCTGACGCACTAGCACCTAGAGCAGCAGCCTCACCAGCACCTAGAGCAGTAGCCTCAATGCCCGGGTCAGGCGGTACACACAGGTAACAGTCACCCACAACACTATCATCAACAGCATACATGGCAGCAAGAATAGCATCATAGTCAAGATCAAAGACGGCAACCCCCGCCCTAGACAGATCTCCCCAGCGAGGGATCTCTGACGCCTCAGGGAACTGGCGACGCCACGCGTCCGTCAGGCGAACGAAGCAGCGCTGGGTGGAGTGTGGGCCTCTCCACTGCTCACCAGCTTGGTCGCCGGTACGGAGGACGTAAGTGCACGGACCAAAACCCCCACCGTGCTGACGCGCAGTGTACCACTCACGAAGGTGTAGAGGGGACAGGGTCACACCACTCCGCTGCTCCTGGCGCGGACCACCACCTGAGCCACTCCTCTGCACAGAGTCGCGACCCGCTCCACCACCGCCACCGCCACCGCCGCCTCCGCTGCCTCCTCCACCTCCGCCTCCTCCGCCACCTCCGCCGCCTCCGCTCCCTCCGCCGCCTCCGCTCCCTCCGTCACTACCACCGCCTTCGACGCCTCCACTGTCGCCGCCGTCGCCGCCACCCCGGCACCACTCCCACCACTATCCCCACTCCCTCCACTGCCTCCACCACCACCTCCACCGCCCCCTCCAGCTCCTCCAGCGCCCTTGCCCCCCTTGCCCTTGCCGGTGCGGCGTCTCCCGCTCGGAGCAGACGCAGCGCCGACCGACTCGAAGCCAACGAGGTCGGCCGCAGCAGCAGAGGCAACAGAGGGCAAGAGGGGGGAGGGAGAACACCCCTCAAAGACGGGGGTGCGAGGGTCACCACGAGAGGCTCCTACAGCGACTATGCTCTTCTCTATCGCTAGAAGGGCCTTCTCGAGGAGGTCAACCGTGAGAGTGGTGGGGCAAACTGAGAGGAAGTGGTCCCTGACTACGCGGAGAGAGTCAGGGAGACTGGTGACTATGTAGTAGAGGGTGATGTACATGGGGGGGGGGTTCTTAGCGCAGAACTCAGCAGGAAGCGCAGCACGGTAGCGAGTGTCACTAGTGTGGAGGTGCGTAATGAGGTCAGCGACTATGGGAAAGGCAGCAAGGTCAGGGAAGAGGTACGGTAGCATGAGGCGGCTCAGTGCAGCAGTGGCAGAGGAAGAGTAGCGTGCAACTACAGCATCGTACAAGGTCTGAGCACTCTTGTACTGGCTAAAGTGTGCACGCTCAGCGGTCGTTAAGTGGCGGCGCACATCAAGGCGAGCAGCAGCATCACGCGTGGCCCACTGTGAGCGAACAGTGGGGTCAGCATCAGCAGCAGGGGCAGGAGAGGCACCAGAAGTGAGGTCAAACAGGGAGAGACCGTCTGCCCTATCGCACTGTAGGAAAAGCTGCAGATCATTTACCCAAACCTCAAAGTCAACTGCCCGACCCTCAGCGTCAAAGGTGAGAACACTAGGGGAGGCCATGACAGCAGTAGACAGGCACTGAGTACAGTGGGGCAGGGCAATGCAGTGGCAGAGACGCTGCTCTTACCAGGCAAGTGGGGCGGTCGGGCGGCTCGGCGGCTCGGCTGCTGGGCGGCTCCGCGGTCGGGCGGCTCGGCTGCACGGCGGCTCGGTGGTCGGGCGGCTCGGCTGCTCGGCGGCTCCGTTGCTGGGCGGCTCGGCTGTCGGGCGGCTCGGCTGCTCGGAGGTTCGGCTGCTCGGCGGCTCGGGCGCTAGACGGGTGAGCGGCGACGGGGCCGTGGAAGGGCGGCGACGGGGCCACTGAAAGGGCGGCGACGGGCCGCTGAAAGGGCGGCGACGGGCCGCTGAAAGGGCGGGCGGCGACGGGGCCGCTGAAAGGGCGGCTACGAGGCCGCGGAAGGGCGGCGACGGGGCCACTGGAGGGCGGCGACGGGGCCGCGGAAGGGCGGGCGACGGGGCCGCTGTAAGGGCGGGCGGCGAGGCCGTGGAAGGGCGGCGACGGGGCTGTGGAAGGGCGGCGGCGGGGCCGCTGAAAGGGCGGGCGGCGTCGGGGCCGCTGAAAGGGCGGCGACGGGGCCGCTGAAGGGCGGCGACGGGGCCGCTGGAGGGCGGCGACGGGGCCGCGGAAGGGCGGTGTTGGGGCCGCTGAAGGGCGGGCGACGGGGCCGCTGTAAGGGCGGGCGGCGAAGTCGTGGAAGGGCGGAGACGGGGCCGTGGAAGGGTGGCGACGGGGCCGCTGAAAGGGCGGCGACGGGGCCGCTGAAAGGGCGGCGACTGGGCCGCAGGAAGGGGCGGCGACGAGGCCGCTGAAAGGGCGGCAACTGGGCCGCAGGAAGGGGCGGCGACGAGGCCGCGTAAAGGGCGGCGCGACGGGGCCGCAAGGGCGGCGCGATGGGGCCGCAAGGGCGGCGCGACGGGGCCGCAAGGGCGGCGCAACGGGGCTGAAAGGGCGGCGTGACGGGGTCGTTAGGGGCCGTAATAGGGGCCGCTAGAGGCCGCTAGAGGGGGAACGATACGGGGCGCGACTCGGGCAGGGGCCAAGCGTGCTCCGGGCAGGAAAAAAAAGTCGGTGGGCCCTAAGATCAGTTCCCACAAGGGAACCAGCTCTATACCATGTGAAGATGAGAACGAGAGAATGATTGAACTATGAAAGAGTTGGGTACAAGTACTAACCCTAATTGGGTTGTACCCCTTATGGGCTACCCCACTACAGCCTACACAGATGTAAAAGCTATAATGTTCTGACATTACCGTGTATTTAAATGATCTACAGCATGTTCAGAAAATTGTTTTTGGGCAGTCGGGCTTATTGGCGCGGATCTGGTGGTAGCCTCCTCCAAGGTCAATCTTCGAGAAAACCTGGGTTATGCGCAGTTGATCGATCAGTTCGACGGCTCGTGGGATAGGGTAACGGGACTTGATCAGTGCGCGGTAACCTATGCACATGTGAAACCCCTCGTTTTTCTTTGGTGTGAACAGGATCGGTGCTGCGAAGGGTGACGAGCTTGGGCGAATGAACTGTGTTTTGAGCAGGCAGTCTAACTGTTTCCGTAGTTCGTCCTGTTCGGGTTGGGTCAGTCGGAACTGTCGTTGTACTGTCGGCTGTGCCCCCAAATCTAACTCTATCCTGTGGTCGTGCGGTCGCTGAGGTGGCAGTCCCTTCGGTAGGTCGTCCGGAAAAAATCCCACTGTACTGCTTCATTAGCGCTGCCAAGTCACCCGGTACGTCGGAAAGTAGTTTCTATAAATCACTCGGCTTGTCTGCTGCCTCGGCTTCACGAATGTCAATGGCATACATGTCGCGCTGGAGATTGTGCGTGACATGCCAGAGAGGAAGCTAGGGCTTCACCAGCAGGGCTATGCCGACAAGCTGCGCAGGCGCTTCATTGACGAGGAGTAGGGCAGTCGAGTCACGAAGACGCCAGTCTCGGTCGACACCTACGCCGAGCTGGCATTTGACGAGGAGGAGGCGCATGAGCGCGAGGAGGAGGAGTACCGGCAAAAGGTGGGCTCGCTGCAGTTCGCGGCGACGACGAGGCAGCAGGACATCGCGTTTGCCTGCAGTAAGCTAGGGAGCGGCCTCACAGTGAGGAGCGACCAGCATTGGCGCGAGGTTGACCGCTGCATTGCCTACCTCGCTGACACTTGCGACACCACTCTAGAGTTTGGCGGTGGACCAGACTCGCTGGAGCTGATCGGCTATGTGGACGTCGACGATGCGGGCGACACGGGCGGCTACGTGTTCGTCTTCGGAGAGGCCGCGGTCTCCTGGTCGAGACAGCGCATCAAGTGCACGACGCTCTCCTCGACCGAGTTAGAGTATGCCGCTGCCACGGACGCCAGCAAGGAGGGGTGTCGACTTCGATTCCTCCTTGCAGAATTCAAGTTGCTCGACACCGAAAAGCCGACCATCCTCCGTGTTGACAACAAGTCGGCAATCACGGTCGCTGAAGGCTTGGAGCTGACGGGCAACCTCAAGCACATGGAGCGACGCTATGCCTGGCTGCAGTACATGGTGAGGTGTGGGAAGCTTGTGCTGAAGTATATCCCGACAACCGAGCACCCGGCAGACTTCGTGACGAAGGCGCTGCATTTTCCAGCTTTCAACCGGTGCTTTGTCGCCATCGGCCAAGTCGTCTAGCCGACGTCGGCGATAGCGACGATGATGTGCAGTAGTAGGTGCTGTGCCCTTTTGCACAGCTGGTGCGGTGATGGTGTGCTGTTTGTGGGGTGCACGCCGAGGATGAGTTTTCTTCGTGGAGTACTGTCGTGTGGGCTGGGGGCCCAAGCGTGTTAATGGGAATGCAGTGTTGGCCCCGCCCTCGCTTGGGCAACGCCTATGACTTGGTCGGATGTACGGGGGAAGTAGGCGACCGTTCACATTGAGAGAGCTGCCTCGTTGAGTTGCAGGGGACGGCAGTGGTGTTGCCGTCGACTTGGAGTGCTCGATGGTCTTCTTCTGTGGGGCAGGTCGACGGGGTGGTTGTTGACCTCCACAGGACTGTCACGGGGCTAGAGCCATCGACCAGGGAGCTCAATAGCTGCAGCTGACTAGGCTAGGCTGGCCGTCGACCAGGAGGAGCCGTTTGAGCGGGAGGTCGACGGAGCAGTTCGTCGACCTAACAAGTGAGCAGCGGTCGACGAGAGGAGCTTGACGACAACAACAGCTGATAGTTCGGGTCGTCGGAAGGGGTCCATCGACAGTGTGTGTAGCTCGACAGGAGCTTTGGTCGACCAGAAGCGCCTGGTGGTCGATCGGAGGCACCTGGTGGTCGACCAGAGCACTTGGTGGTCGACCAGGTCGACCGCGTAACCTGCTCGACGAGTTCTGCGGAGGCACGCGAACGTAGTCGAGGTTGCGATGGCGAAGGCGACTTCGGGCTGGTATCCTGAAGTTGATGTGGCTCGTCAGGCGCAGACAACAACCAACGGATACGCAATGATGCAAGCCAGGCCAATCGTTTGCGCGCACCTTCGAGCGTGCGCACTGCTGCCATCTACAGGTGCAACACTGAACAGCCGCACCGCTGCAGCGTCGGCACGGCGTCGACCTACAGTGTTGGTAGGTCGCCTTTCCGCAGTGCTGACGTGGATTCTCTATGCAACGCTGGCAGGTGGTGGACCATGCAATGCTGGCAGGCAACCAGGCTAGCTGCAGAGTTGCTAGGTGCCTGATATAGTCATTGTTTGCCATTGCTTGTTTAATCATTATGTAATTCCAACGTTGCCTAGTGAAACATTTGACGATTTCTCCCGTGTATGCGCAAGCACTAAGGAACCAAGCAAAGCTACGATCACTCCTAGTAGTTCGTGCCAACCCCCATAATCTAGCTCACTACCGTTGTAGAGTGACTCTCCAAAGTGGCAACTTCGGAGAGGGCGAAAAAAGGAGAACATGATGGCGCGAATTTAAAACGTCACAACCAGCCGGCACCAGGTGAAATCGCCGAGACAAAAGGAGACTTCGCGAAGCAGAACCCTTACTGACCGGGAAACTTCAGCCATACACCCCGACAAGTAAGAATATTACTTCTCGTGGTTTTCAAGCCTTTATTAAGGGAGAGTCAGAAATTAAACCGGTACCGTGTAATATGTGGACTCCACTCTTGAGCGTTGATAATGGTCGAGCGTTACGAGGGATTAATCTTCTCTCCCAGCAGCACGGTGTTAAGGCTCCCCGCTGTTCCCCCAGGTGAAGCCTACATAGCTGCAAAGGCTTAGGGGAAGGTTGCACGCACAGGAGAAGCTGTACCAGCCTCGAATAAATCCTTCTAACCCTACTCAGATGAAACGTTATATCGACTCATCAACTTCGAGCAGAGGACCTAGGGATGATACATTTGATCTACCCTATGATCCTATAAGCAACACAATCTACAACTACTTGGAGTGGTAACAACCACTAGTACTCGAGGTGATCTGCAACGGGCGACGCCTCCAGGCATTGGTGGACAGTGGTGCGTCCCACTCGGTGTGCCGCGGGACGTTGGAGAAAACTGAAGAATCTTCAGAGGAGACTCAATTTGCAGCAACGATGGTGGACGGTACAAAACTACCCATCCACAGCGAGTCAACACTGCAGTTGCAGATAGGGGCGTTGAGATGGAAGCCGACGTTCCGGATCACGAATAACAAGGGATTAAATTTCATCTTGGGGCGAGATTTCCTGAAGAGGTGCAACCCCGAGATAGACTGGGTCAACTATAATGCGTGCATCTACAACAACGGGAAACGAGTGGAGCAGCGAAGCTAGACGGATACAAGGGATGTACCAGAAACGGCACTTGCGTGGATCAAACGGATGGTGAATGAGAGTAACACGGGCTACTTAGCACTGGTGATGTCAGCATCAGAGGAGGAGAAGCCGAACTCGGAACTACCTGCAGCAGTACAGGAGGTATTGGAGTAGTACCAACATCTTGCCAGACGGCCTACCTAGTACGTCCAGCGAAAACCCACAAGCATGAGATCGTGGAGGAACCAGGTGCGAAACCATACCGCCTTAGTCCATTCGAACTGACCGACATGAAGAAACAAATGGAGCACCTACTAGACAGACCACTGATCCGCCCATCCACCTCTCCCTACAACGCACCGGTTCTCTTCACTCCTAAGCCGGACAATAGTTTACGGATGTGCATCGACTACCGAGCACTGAACAAACAGACAGTAAAAACAAATATCCCATGCCGCGCATAGACGATCTTCTAGACCAACTGCGTGGTGCAACGGTGTTTTTTAAGCTGGACCTACGGTCAGGATACTAGCAGATCAAGATGGCAAACAATTCGATTCACAAGACGGCGTTCCGTACCAGATACGGCTCCTACGAGTACTTAGTGATGCCGTTCAGACTCTGCAACGCACCGGACATTCTAGACAGAGATGAACTACATCCTACGGCCCCTATAGGATGAGTGCGTAGTGGTGTACCTGGACAACATATTCATCTACTCCAAAAACATGAAGGAGCACGTGTAGCATCTTCGGATTGTCTTCGAGATTCTGCGGGAGAACAAGTTCTACGTGAAGCTGTCAAAGAGCAACTTCGCCCGGAAAAAGGTGCAGTAAGGAAGAAGAGAGGAAGGAGGTTCACTAGCAGCAGGTGGGATACATATAGCAAACTCTAACAGGGTTGTACTCGCTATAAAGCACCCCACTACAGGCTAGATAATTATAACATTCTGACACACCCCCATAGCCAAAGTGGGGTGTAATCAGCACAATGAGCAAGCAGGTACAGAGCAGGAGTTCACAATAGCGAGCAAAGCTAGAGTCATTCACAAAGGGCAAGTGAGGAGGAGGAGGCGAGACTGTAAGAGGAGAGGAGATAGGAGGCGATGTCTGAAGCTGCAGACACACGGGCAACAGGAGTCACACTGGCACAGCGGCTACCGGAACAACGCTCCGGACTATTGGAGTAACTGGCTCCGCGGCTAAGACTAGCGGCAGACGAGCAACGGACCCACGGGCGACTGGCACAGCTGGCTACGACTGGGCTACCGGAGCAACGCCCCGGACTACTGGTGCTGCTGACGACACGACGACAACCTCCGTTCAACCAACCTCTTCCAGCTGCCCCATACCTCTCGACACAGACCCCCTGCTCAAACCCTAGCTCCACTCCCATAGCACCCCCCTTACACCCTAAACCGCAGGCTCACACACATCCACCTCCCTCAAAACCCTAGCTCCACTCCCACAGCACCCCCCTTAAACCCTAAACCCCAGGCTCCCACACATCCACCCCCCTCAGCGACAGCTGCAGCAGCGGGAGACGAAGGAGGAGGAGGAGCAGGGGAGACCACACACCCGTCACCCCTAACTCGCCACCCCCAGACCCTAACACAGGGCAGGGCGGGACGGCGAGTAGGGAGGTTAGGGGGGGGGGGGGGGGACGCGCGGTCTCCCAGGGCGCCAAAACAGGCGGCACAAGGGGCGATGCTCGCCCCCCTTCCCCAGGTGCGGCCCCCGAAGGAGCCGCGACGGGCGACGGGAAAAGGGGGGGGGGGGGGGGGGGGCGGTGCACGTGCCCCCGGTGCGCCGCGGTTGGCGACGAGGCATGGCCGGGGCGGGGCCGGGGCAGGGTCGAGGAGGGGCCGAAAGGGGCGGCGACGGGGCCGCAAGTGGCGGCGACGGGGCCGCTGGAGGCGGCGACGGGGCCGATAGGAGCGGCGACGGGGCCGCTAGGGTCGGCGACGG